ATCTGGTTCTCTTCACACCTCTCCTCTTTAGAAACTGGGGCTGAGGGGACCAGGGTAAGAAAACAATGATACTCTGGCTATAGCCATTATTATGAGTAATAAAGCCTTTCCCAGGAGTCCATGAAACTGAAGATTAGCTTGTTGGCTTAAAAGTAGGGTGAAATCTCAGAGCTTTCACAGTTCTTGACAAGAAGTTAAGTAATTTGCCTAAGGTCTGACAGCTAGTAGGTGGCATATCCAAGATTCAAGCCCAAGCTGTCTGGTTCAGAAATCAAACTTTAAAGTTCTTTGCTATACTGAAGCAGCTCTCAAAAAACGTGTAATTCCAAAACTAGCAGTATTGAATCACCCGTGAACATGGTACAAGAGCAAATTCTTGGGCATCACCCCAGACCTATTGAATCAAAACCTCAGAGTGGGGGGGAGGGGGAAGGGGAGAAATAAATGTGCTTTAAAAGCCTTCCAGGAGACTGATGCTTATTAAGTTTGAAAAACACTGCTAAGTTGCATATATTCACTGTATCTATGAGATTGAAGGAAATGGCATGGATATATCCTGATTTCCATAGGGATGTGAACTGACCTTTCATAACCTGAATAATGGATTTGAAGTACTAAGGGAGATGATTCCTCAGCCCTTGTATTTAGTTTTTAGGAAGGTAAGAATCTTTATCTGGAGCAAAACAAACATCACATGTCTGTTTAACAGGTCTGCACATTTTCCTTTGGAGTCACGAATATATGTCCGGAATGTTAAATGAAAATACCTGCTTTTTTATTCCCATAATGATTAGAAAGAATTACTTAGCCAAAGAGAAACACTATTTATATTTGAGAGTCAAGCTGTCATTCTTGAAAAACAGGAAACCACATATCAACAGTGTACCATAGTAGAAAGGGCACCAGGCTTTGAGTCACAGAGTCAAGTCACTTAACTTCTTCAACTCAATTTCCTGATTTTAAAATGGAAAATGAACTTCAACTTCAGAGTTGCAATTAGGTTTAAATGATACGTCATGTGAAAGCCATGGGTAAACAGCTTCTGTGCTACATGAATGTAAACTCTACCTTCATGGGCTCTTTCTCTTTCTAGATCTGGTGTTATCAGTTCCTCCAGTGCTTAGAGTTCTGTCTGGCACATAGAAGATGCCCGATACTTATAAGGTATTAGAAATGAATATGAGATATTCTATTAATGATGTACTTGATGCCTCTGGGCTCCATGTGTCACAATCATCTCAGTCTTTTAATAAGAAAAACTCACTCCAACAAGAAATCCTTAGTCATGTTTAAAATGGGCCAGATAATTTAAGAAAATCAGCTGATTTTCTTCCCCTGGAGAACACTACTGACAGAGCTCTGTCCTCAGGCATAAGACAGAAACTCCTATTAACAACCCTGATGGCCCTCGAGTCTCCTGGTCTGAAGTCTATCATAATCTCTTGTGCATATTCAGTCAAAAATAAAGGATGTGTACCTACAAAGAACAAATACTTTACATTTACATCTGCAAAGAGGTAGAATTTTAGTAAATGGATTTACAGGGTTTATGTAAGCGATTTTAATAAAATCTAAGATTCAATATAGCAAATATTAAATAAGCTACTACTGTGCATAAAAAAGTGACTGATAGAAAACCACTGTCAATATACTTTGGGAACAGAAATCACTGTTGAATTTATAATTTAATGAAAAAATATAACTTATTTACTAAACTTTTTATATTTATGGTAAAAGTGGTTCCTTAATTTGTACTCTCTCCAACACACTTTCTCAATCTCCTGAAAAATTAGTTAATGGTCTAGTCTTGAAATAGGGGAACTTTGGGCTTGTAGCTTCAACAGACATATCTAAGTCAGCAAATGAATTCAAGCTGAAGGGCTGCTTTCAGTGCAGAGCTTCAACAGTAAAGAGAATATCCCAGCTATGTTGCCTATATCCTAAGGGACCTGGGCAGGGTATACTGCCCCCTATGTATGTTGTAACAATCCAGGCACTTATATATACATCAGTTCTACCTTTTATTTTTATTTATGTATTTTTTTTGGTGAGGGGAGGTAATTAGGTTTTATTTTTGTTTTTGGAGCAGGTACTGGGGATTGAACCCAGGACCTTGTGTAGTCTAAGCATGTGCTCTACCACTTGAGCTATACCCTCCCCCCTAGTTCTACCTTTTAACAAGTGAAAGCATTAAGGCCATTTCAAGACTTGGAATTTTACCAGTCCACTAACTTCCTAAGAGAATATGCAAGTATGTTTGATGAAAAAGCACAAATTACAGAGTTGAGCAAGAAACTTTCATTTGCTTTTTTAAAAATATGGAAAACAAGTTTGCCCTTTTTTCTTTTCTTTTCTTTTTTTTTTTTTTGAGAGGGGGTAAGGGAGAAGAGGTAATTAGGCTTTTTTTTTTTTAATGAAAGTACTGGGGATGTTGAACCCAGGACCTTGCGCATGCTAAGCACACACTCTGCCACTGAGCTATACCCTCCCCTGAAGTTTGCCTTTTCTAAGCTAATTTTTTATCCATCTTTTCAACTCCCAAGGCAATATAACTTCCACTAAACAATCATGTGGCTACAGTGATTTGTAGAGGTTCCTAATAAAGATGCAACTCCTATATGTATCTCTATTAAACAGTACTCTTCAAATGTAATTCAAAACCAAATTAAGCAAGTATCTTAATCAATAAAAAAGGTAGCTATTAGTTCCACCAACTCCTTGCAAAATTCGGTTAACCAATAGGAAACAGAAGAGAAAGCCAGTTTTGATGTAGTCTAACTACATTCTGGCTTATAGCCCCACAGTGAAATACTGACTTCTGGTGGCAAAAAATGCGTGTGTACTCTGCATCTGGCAGGAGAAAGCAATGTTGAAAAATCACCTAGATTTTACTGTTGCCATAAATTCTCAGTCTCTTGATGATTTTTGTATTCTAAATTAACACATTATGAGTCTTCAAAATCACATTTTTACACAGTTAAGTAAATACCAAATGCCAAAGACTACAGAAATTCAATTGCTACAGTGAATAAAACATTAACTCTGATGTATAGCAGTTCATTTTCTTCCTGTAAGTAGAAAGGAAAGAGTTCACATCCCCAGCCTCATCACTCCTGCAAGTTCTATTTAGAAATGGAAAGAGGGGGAGGGAAGTCCCCAATATCTTTTTTTTTTTTTTACAGCGTTGTGTCCCACTCTTCAATACCTCTTCGTCTTAAAGCGACCAAATCTGTTCCAAATACTGTCTTTGGTACCCTCCCTCCTAAATTAGCTGAATTCAGATTAGGCTTCTCAGTTTTAAGTACTAGTTATCTATTTTCTGGCTTTCTCTTAGTCTCTCTTCATATTCTCTTGGGTCATTATCCTTCAGTTCTCTCCATCCACTTAGGCATATTTATCTTCAAATACAATTCTTTCCAACACTGGCAAGAGACACCATCTTTAAATAAAACAGGCGAATCATCCAGAATTTTCAACCCTCCTGTGAATTTATTTCCAGAGTATTCACTCAAGGAATCCTTTCCACTAAGATGAAAGGCAAGCTAAGGAAATACATTAGACAGAGGAAGTAAACATTGAAACAGGGCCATGCCTAGGTATTCTTAAGTCTCTGAGCAGAATTAGACTCTCAAGTCCAAAGGTTTTCTCGTGTCTTCCATCCTCACTAAGTCTAACCCCACGCAGGTTCAGGAGAGATGTTCCACTACAGACCCTACCATCTACCACTTCTGCATGACCTTGCTGTGATATAATCTGGCACAAGCAAAATCCCCCAAACTCTCAGGCCGGTTCCTTGCCTGAGGTTTCTGTGCCTCAATTACTAAGCTCACCTTGCAACCGTCCCAGGGGACACTGGATCTTCGCCTTAACGTGCGCTTTCGCCTTTAAAAGTTTTAAATGTCTGGCTTCTCGATGGTACGTAATCCCCCACCCACCCCCGCCTCCAACGTGCACCAACAAAGCTAAAAGGACCCTATCCCACCCTTGAAAAAACAAAATTTCGTCTGCAAGACCTTCCCCCACCGCCCACCTTCACCGCCCCCTCCTCAATGGAGAGGGGCTCCCGGAAGATTCGGACACAACTCCACCTCCAAAGCCAAGGGTCTTCCTGAGAAATTTGCACAACAATACGGGGTCTGTGTGTAAACTCCTAGAAGACTAACCTAGGAGGAAATTATCAAGACCCTCGAAGGTCCCTCGCAGCTTCATTAACGTAACCACCGTTACAGTGAGGTAAAGTATGATTCCTGTAACCCTCCAATTCCTCTCCCTTTTAAATTGCTGACCCCTGAGCTCGCAAAGTCGGAGGGCCGGCGTGCGGCAGAGTCACCAAAAAAAAAAAAAATTATCAAGGGAAATTAACCAGTTCCACGTTCTGCAGATGCCGTCTCCCTCTGCGCCAGGAGCAAGTCTCAGAAGGTGCCTCCAACTTTTCCCCTCCCTCTCTAGAGGCTGCGGACCACCGACGGACGCCTCCATCTGAGTTACAGTTTGATAGGATTGGAATCGCTAATCTCTCTCTATAAAACGCAAGGGGGAGGGGTGACCGTGTTGTGGGGGAGGTGATTCGGAATGGGGGAAAGAAAAGCACCGTTTTATCCCCCGGAGAAACTTCTGGGATTCTTCTATTACGCAACCTGGGGACCAGGTTCCAACAACAGAACATCTTTCCGCAAAACGCCGGGCGCACAGGCGGACGTTTGCTTTTGGGAAGGGGCAGAGTGGGAGGAGGATGGGTCTCTTCCTGTGTTCCCCTCCCCAGTTTTTCTAGACGCTACCTGCAGCGGATTTGTAAGTGAGGGCGGCACGAGCTCTGCGTTTCCTTCGCCGGTTCTCCCCGAAGGTTCCCACCGGAAAAGTGGGAACGCCAGCGACTTGAGTCAGCGTGCTGGGAAGCCGGCAGCTAGGCGGGAGAGCCTGGGCTTCCCAGAAGTCATCGGCCGCGGCGTCTCGGCCAGGGCTGACCCCTAACCCGAGGCGGGGCGCAGGACTCCACTTACCTTCCAGACCCTAAGTCCTCCAATCTCGGGTCGTGCGCCCTCGCCGCCTCCGCCCGCCCCAGACCTGTTGCGGTGGGGAAGGGGCGCGGGTGCCGAGAGCGCAGGGGAGCGCGTGCT